CCACAAACGGTGCATTCTTCATTTTTTTTATTCAACTATTACTGATTGGAATAATCTTCCAGACTCAGTTATTTGTCTTTCTTCTTTTATGTCTTTCAAAACAGCCTTACTTCAGTATCTCTTCCAGTGAAACGCTTGTCAGTTAAGCATTTATGCTTTTTCTTTTTTGTTTTTTTTGTTGTTTTTTTTAAAAATTTTTGTGTTTTATTTACTACTTCTGATTCTAATCTTAGTTGTCTTCTCTATTTTTTTTTTTTTTTATTACTATTTTGGTGTTGTTTGGCTTGAGTCATTGTTACTACAGGTCGGTGACCTTTGATGACTCTCACTTTTCGTGAATAAACAATCTTAGTCTTAGTCTTAGTCTTAGTCTGCAATGCTTCGTTCATTTTCACCCTCACCAAAAACTTGAGATGTCTAGGAAACCACTTTCCACATGTTTTTTCAAAAAAGCGTAAACGAGATCTCTAGATTATTTTTGATACTCTACACGATGGGACAAGTGGAATTTTCACGGCTAATAGTGAACGTAATAGTGAGCGGCAGGACAGGACGGGACGCATAAGCTGGTCCTGTATTTTATAATTTTTTTCTCTGCAATTTTTTGCATAATGTTTATCGCCGTTGATTTTACTTGATGCTTATTATGAGTTGTATGTGTCACTATTGAAATATCAAACAGTGCTAACTTCTTCATTGGTCGATAAAAGTATCAAATCAAGAACATAAAATAATAAAAAGTATAATCAGCAAAGCAACAGAGATGAGCACAGGACAGGACGTGCGGTCATCCTGCTGTTCTGTCCTGCCCCTCGACAGGACGGAGGTCGACTGCAGGACAGGACAGAAAAAGTTGTCCTGTGCTCGTCTCTGGCGTGTATGATGAATAAACAACTGTGCTAACTCGATGCATTTCAGAGCCATACGATATCTCAAAATTCGAACTGAAACTCATTGGATGCACTTAGTCGTCAGTCCTCGTACCATAAGTCACGTGCAGACTTCCCAGATGGTCCGCATTTTGGAGCTTTTTCCGCAATTTATCTGCATTTTGAGAATTGTCTGCTTTTGCTGTTTTTCCCCTGTTCATATTATATAAGATTTAAAAAAAAAACACCATCTCCAAACATGCACAAATTAGTTTCGTCGTGCTACCAAACAAACATAATATAAAACATGGAAGACAAGAAGACACGATTCGTTAATATTTAGCCGAATCCGTACACAGCAGATCACTAATAAATTTAAAGTCGACTTTTACATTATTTCCTTCTTGAACACCAGTTTCATATAATCTTTGCTTTCAATATTTTTATATCAATGAGAAAATGCATTAGTGCGCTGTCGTTCTAGGAATATAGGAGTGGGTTTTAATCAGATGTGAATGAAACCAATATACGTGCGGCACATATTTCTGTATATGCCGAGCCGACGCGGCGTAACATTGTTGATTCTCAGCAGTTGCCTTCTGTTTTCATGTATTTGATCTGATCCGAGTATATTAAAAATATAATTGAATTTCTTTGTCACAATGATGGAGTTCTAATTTTGTAGAGCTCCCTTTATTGAAAAAAAAATGAATTTCTTAGCGAGAAAAAATTCATAGTTCTATATTGGTGTACTTCTCAAAAATTTAAGTAATAACTTTGATAATCTTTCTTAGGCCCTAAAAGTGGACAGATAGTCATTTTTATTCCGTCAGTAACTGTATACAGATATGTCTTTAATAAAATGTCATAAACGATATTGTCAGCATATTTCAAAAGACTTCCAAAAATTGATTGATTGTATTCTCTACTATCCAAAGCTCGGGTGTCATTCAGAGTTTCTAATAATTGATGGTTCGTGTGAACAGAAAGTGATCTTCCACGTTGCAAAAATTCTGTTATCCTCTAAAAATGATTAAAATACACAATATTGTTTTGAAATTTCTAAGTTTTTTTCTCATACGTATTACAAGTTCACGCTGACGGCTGATTGTATTGGCGTAGTCCCTCTTATAAATCATCACATGGTATTGGGTTTCATCAGGGTTACCACTCAGAGAGATATGAAAAGCAAAAAAAATGTTTTTTCTTGTTTATTTAACAAATATCCAAGTTAATAACCTTTATTTGTGTGGAAATAAGTTTGTGGTTTGGAAGACTTTAGCGGTTAAAATAATCGGAAAAAAGGGGTTGCCTTGGGCTACAGTAGATGACTGTTACATTTACCATTAAGAAAGGAAAAGTCTTGACGTTTTCATTGTTTTAGTCATACCACTAGAGCCCACAGAATTAGCTCAGATTAATAAACGTGAGATAGACCAAAGTTTTGGAGCACAACCTAAAGACTGGTTTAAAAAACTCATGTTTATCAAAAAGTCTGCTGAAACTATGATTTTTTGGGTTTCTTCGCTTTCAAATAGTATTTATTCTAGGTCAGAAAAATAGTCAGCACCCAGTCGTTGACGATTTTCTATATGTCATTTCAATATAGACTGGAAACAAGTTCAGCAAGTCGGTGTCATAAGAAACTACTAATTCATGATCTCAGTTTCTCAGACGTTCTGACTAGTAATTCTTGCCTTTACATTTCAATTTTGCAAGCCAATAATCAGATCAGACATATGGTCTAACCTGCAAATACTCTTATTATCTCTTATTATCTATTGTTTTCAATATGTAAATGGCGAGTCTGTAGAATACTGCATTTTAGACAGCATCAAAAATAAATGAATTATTACTAGGAAAAAATATTTTTCAGGCCAGTAATATTGTAACTATATTATTCCGCGTTTTTTATTTTCAATTCTAGATGTTATTTCTTCAAAAATTATCATGTCCTCACCATCAGTATTTAAGCATCTCGTTTATCCTATTTATTGTCATTAATATTTGTTATTCACAAAATGAACAGCAAGAATCTATTTTAACTAGCACATTATCGACACCAAAACTTGCCATTCGTAAGTATTTATGTAAGATTTTTGATTTATCTGAGGGAAAGCTAAAACTAATTCCATTATATCATTCTATTCTTAAACTGTTCCAGTCAATTTTGCACAGGTATATGTTTAAACAAGCAAACTACGTTCTATAGTGGACTGCAAAACTTAATCTACAGTTCGCACCCTATATCTTTTACAACGATTGAGACTGCAATCACTTGGTGTCACTCATGCTAATTCTTTTTGATTCTTTTTGTTTTTAATGCCTGCAGAATAGCTGCCCTTTTCTATCATGCTTGTTTGTTGTTGAGTTGCCAGTAAGAGTATCAAATGGCTACTAACTAGTAACAGAAAGTGTTAACAGTAGCGTTGCATCCCTATTTAACAGCATCATCGTCAATCGCCAGTCCTCATGAAGATGTTCATGATCATTCTCAAGAAGACGTACACGCACACATCAATTCAAGACAACAATTTCGGGCATCATATACACATGAACATCCCGAACATGATGAAGGTAAATGGCAAAGAAAAAAGTTGTAATACCATCAAATTTTTACCTTACTTTTTTCTAGTTTTGAATGATTATAACAAACGTTTAGAAGAAATTGAACACGATGAAATAGCATTTCGCAGCAAACAATCACAACATATTCATCCTTCACATATTTCTGACACCATTACGAATGATAATCAACAACAATTACATACTCCAACACCAGCTCCATCATCACGTCAACATCAAGAAGAACAGCAAGATTCAGCAATAATTAATAACACCTCTAACGTTCAACCAGAACAACCTGCCATATCACGTGAAAATGAACAAACACATCGTCATGCACATGTACATCCAAGACATCAACATTATCAACCACAACAAAGGCAAATACCTACACCTACTGTTCATCAAACTGCAGCTCAGCATCCCCGACAAATATTACCTTCAATTCATCCCAATTCAAAAGAACAGACACAACAAGCGTCTTCTGTATCTCTGCAAGCACAAGAGCAGAAACAACAAGCGCCGTCTGTATCTCTGCACGAACAAGAACAGAAGCAACAAGCGTCTTCTGTGTCTCTGCAAGAACAAGAACAGAAGCAACAAGTGCCGTCTGTATCTCTGCACGAACAAGAACAGAAGCAACAAGCGTCTTCTGTGTCTCTGCAAGAACAAGAACAGAAGCAACAAGTGCCTTCTGTGTCTCTGCACGAACAAGAACAGAAGCAACAAGCATCTTCTGTGTCTCTGCAAGAACAAGAGCAGAAACAGCAACTGCCGTCTGTATCTCTGCACGAACAAGAACAGAAGCAACAAGCATCTTCTGTGTCTCTGCAAGAACAAGAGCAGAAACAGCAAGTGCCTTCTGTATCTCTGCACGAACAAGAACAGAAGCAACAAGCATCTTCTGTGTCTCTGCAAGAACAAGAGCAGAAACAACAATTGCCGTCTGTATCTCTGCACGAACAAGAACAGAAGCAACAGCAGTTGCTGACACCTAATCAGGAACATTCACAGGAAACAATAAGAGAACAGCTCAAATCAGGTTTGCATCTTCTATATTCAAAGAGATGATGTTCTATACACCATAATGCAAAATACTTTTTTAGTTGTTCAAGATACTTCAACGACCACCCACGCCGTAGAAACAAGAAAGACCGAGACGTTTGAAAATATTAGTGTATCTCACATACCATCATCACAAATGCCACCAATAGTCGAACAAGAGAGAAAAGAACCTACAATAGTGGAATCAACGACAGCTGCCACACCAGTGATAACGGATGCATTAGAAAATGTTTTGACATCGCATAACAAAGCTGAGACAATCGTTCAACTTATTACAACACCACCGATTTCAACAACGCACTCAAATTTAGATCTTCATGCAGACGAAGATTCACCCCCTACTATTGCTATCCGTAATCAAACGAGTGAAGAAAAAGGAGAAAAGGTGTCGGGAATCGATCAAATAATTGATGTTGAACATCCGAGAAATGTTCATGTACATGACCATCATATTCTTGTTGAAACATTATCAAAAGAAGAAGTACAGAAAGACGACCAATACGACAGACATTTTGACGAGAAACTAGGCCACAATATATCACTGGATATTTTATCAGAAGGCAAAAATGACAGTCTGGTGAATGAAACCGTATTTCAGGAGCAAGATATCGCGAAATTAGTGGACACGAACATATCAAATAACACTGAACATATGACATCTCCTAAAGTACAAGTAAAAACTGAAGAATCGATTGCAGAGAAAAGTATTGTTAATCATGATCCATTAGTAAATTCAACAGTCGTATCGTCGTTGACGAGTCCACATTTGCCGCGTGTTCATGAAGAGATAGTTGTAGAGAATGATACATTAGTGGCAACAATTCAGACACTGTTAGCTGAGAACGAGCAGAATATTAATAGTAATGCAAATGATACAGTACATGATGATCATCATCTAATCAATAGTACCGAATCAACAAATGACAGTCTCACTGAAAATATGACACATCCCGTTAAAGTAAGTATATCAATTAGTTTAATTCAAATTATGTAAAAAGATATTAGTACTGGATGCCAACTACCATGTAGGCAGAAGCCGACGGAGTGAAACATTTCTTAAAAATACTTTAGACACCGTTGGAGGACACACTCTATCTATCTCCCACTCTGTATCTCTATACAGCATATAACTGTGATACTTAGTAACTATGAGCAAATAACTGAAAGAGATAATCTTCTTGCTCTCGACATTTTTGTGTGATGTCAATTGTCTGTAATACGCTAAGATTAACGTCTCGAGTTTGCAGCCAAGACGTAGCGTATTCAATTAGCCACGGATCGTAGTTATATCCATCATGTTATAATACTAAGCCAGCGTGTTTGATAGTAGCAGAGTTCATCGATTTGAAATACAAAATCGTCCTTCGGTTCACTACTAGACTTATTTGTTTGCTTAGAAAGAAAATGCTCCAGCGGAGTTGGACATTCTAGAAGAGATGGTAGAATATTCTTATCGTTTTCTTTTAAACTGAATGATAATGTAGAAAACAGAACGCAATTTCAACCGGCTAATTCGAATTTTTCGTAGTAAACGTCTCCGTTTGATATAGTGCGCAATTTTTCTCCTTTTTAGCAACAGCTTTGTACTTGCGGAGTTCTTATCCATGATTAATTTCTGGATTATTTATTTACAACCCAAGTACTCCTGGTGTATGCTCTTGGCGACAAATAAAGAAGTTGTCGAGAATCGCTAAAAATGTAAAAATGAAGAATTACAAGAACGATAATTTTCTACTAGAGCTTTGCACATAGCGTTATCTTCTTTTTAATGTGGCATACAGAAATCTGTATACGGGACATAGGACGTATCTTCTCGTATATGAGATAAAGAAGATACACTAAGGCTCTGTTTTAACAGTTTTGTCAGCGAAAAAAAACGTCGTTTGTTCCCTAACAAATTACACCAAACAACTAAGATCAAAAAAGACTATTTACATCTCTTCTCACCGCCATTACAACACATTTTGATGGTCACAACCTCTATTTTATACGATTAATTAGAAAAATGTATATGTGTCATATGCGCTCACTGAAGATATACATGTCCAATAATTACTCAATATCATAAACACAACGTCATCGATAGTATATCCATTGCTCCGATTGTTCAATGCACAGCAGTATAGACTGATAAGTAGCACGTAATTACTTAGTGAGTCACTGCATACTGTTCATACTGAATATGTCACGTGACGAGTAATTATCGCACATAAAAACGACAGTCTTTGAAAATATTTCAAGGATTCAGCTCTGATTTTGGAGCTCATATAGCACTCTAATTAAAAGGTATAGCGAAAAACTAATTTCAGATGTGTCATCCACGACTCCTCTACTTTCGAATCATCTTTTTCTCGAATCTGTACTATCAGAGAACTGAGAATGAGTGGCTGACTCGAACGAAAAAAAGCATCTAGAAAGAAAGAAGAATTTTGCTAGGCAACACTTGGAATGAAAATCAATAAGTCTCCTATCGTTTCACTCAGTCGACTTAAAGAAGAATTTTTTGTGGTAAAATAAAATAAGCCTCCTTGAGTTTCATTCAATCGGTTTAATGAAGATATCATTTCGAATTTTTAGATGGACGACGCAATTAATTCAACTGTATTACCTTTTATCTCAACTTCCATTCAGTCATCTATTGAAGTCCCTCTTGACCATGATATTAACAGAGTCTTTAATCGACAAATTTGTTGGCAAGTGCCAAAAATGTTTGAACCAAGTATTCAACTAGTGGAGAATGAAATATTAAAAGGAATCAGCATGGTAAGACTCATTTTATTATCACTCAATTTTTATATTTATTTATTTTCTTGTCTTTTTAGTTGCCAGAATTTATTCAAGCATTATGTTATTCTCATGATCAAAATAAAGAAACAATGTGGAATAAACTATGGTTTTTCTTGATTACATTTTTATGCATGATTTTTGGTTTAATATTTTCATTAACATTTTTTTCTTTCAACA